TTTTTGTAGTCGAGGCATCTATTCATTTATCTGTCTTCGAGCATCTATTGTTATATGTCGCAGAAGGAGGGTGATATCTGCACTTTTGACTCATCCTCGTTAAAATTTTACTCTTTTTGCAATTCTCTTCTTTGTTTTTTAAGCTTCTGTTCTTCATTTTCTCTGGAATTCGTACTTCTTTGCTGTGCCGAACTCCTCCATCATCCAACTCAACTGACGTTAGACCTAATCTCGGCCAAGGCCAACCAATTATTCCGTCTGCGCATCGGTTGTGGTAGTGAATTCATTCAGGCGCCTTCATGTTTCGTGCAAGACGCCCGTTAAACGGAAGTCACGATTTGCTATGTCGGTCTAGCTCTCTGTGTGTCCATAGGCAAAATGGAAGATTGGCACAGAAAGATCATGCCTGAGAGGGGAAATCCGGCGGACGAGGTTGTTAAAACCTAAAATTTCGCCGCTTTGTTTTTCGGAAGAACGTTGGAGAAAATATGTGGGAACAGCAAATTTTTGGATTTTAATGACTGTTTTTGCATAATTTTGCTGTCCGATCTATTGGGAAAGGTGCTACTTGTTTCTCGCAAAACAACTTGATAACGCGTGATAAACTGATTCTGAAACAGGTTTCCTAAGCACCCGTTATTGTATAATTTTGAATTTTCGCTGAGTGGTAAGAAAGGAAGTGTTCTTCGAAATTGATCGATGAGTATAGCAACTGCTCACTGCATGTCTTATATAATAGATGGCATTAGCTACTCAAGTTATTTTCAATATCTTTTTATTTTGAAAAACTGACTAATTATGTACAATCTCATGAATAATGGTTGCTAGATGAGCACCTAAGAGAGGAGTTTGGTATTTGATCCACAGAAATCCTCCTCTTGGCATAGTTCCACATCATTCGTCATTTCCTCTCTTCTCTAAAAGGTTAGATCTACTCATTAGGCTGTTGTTTAACTTCTTAATTAGCTGTGAGCCTAGTTATTGTTTCTCCTTGTTGGTTCAAGTAGGGCTCACAGAACTGTCATTTGTGCGTATTTGAAAGGGATTTTCTGGGTATCTATTTAGTTGCTATCTTGATGTTACTGTCAGGATTCGGCATACACTTTAGCAATGCTTCGGAGCACACGAACACATGTTTGTAGATGCGAATACTACCCAGTTTGGCGGCCCGCGACCGCTGAATACACTGATTAGTATCGGACCGGATGGGTGATAGATCGTAAACACTCATAGCACTGGTTTTCCCACATTTTTTATTTCATAGCCCATATAGGCATTTGAGTATCTCTGCGATGTCTCTTATTAAAAGTTGAATACGCAGGTAATTTGAACGCTGAGCCCTACTGTTTTTCCCACAGCATTCCAAGCGTAATATCTCTTGTCCACTTATGGGAGGGCCTAAATGGCAGTGCCTTGAATTCGTGGAGATAGGTCATTCCTGAATATCGTTTTTCGCCAGTGTTTGTGGGGGTGAGGCGTCGGCGGCGCCAGCGTTGTGCGACACATTGTGTTGGCTTTGTTTAGCTCAGTAAACAGTTCCATTGTGACTGAACAGATGGCAGCGAAAGCGCTGGTCATTATGGCTGGTCGGGCAGCTGAATCCTAAAGCAACTGATGAACCTTTACAAGCTGTAGCCCATTAAATTGCTCGATTTTGTCCAAATCAGTTTTTATTGAGGCCAATGCTAGTGTCTCCTCCGCCGCGCTGCTAAAACTTTCCCATGGTGTTGTGTTGGTTATTGTGGCGTGGTCTCTAATGAGAAAAGTGACATATATTTTTTGTCAGATCGAGGATAATTCTTTTTATCTCCCATTCCCTTCTTGCTTGCACTTTTCACGCCGAAATGTCTGGTGCTCAGCCAGCGCGAGGGCTTTTCGCTACTCCTAAAATTGGTCTCCTAATCGGATCAAAGATTAGACAAGGGATTTCTATGGAGACTGTAATGTTGTGTAATGCAGATGAACCTCGAACGAAATTTCCGTCGTGTAAGAAGATTCTATCAGTATTACTATACTGTGTAATTCGAAGACTGGCCGTACGAGGTCGAGTTGTCGCTGAATAAAAGTGAAATTTCGCGGGATCCTGTGCTTAATATTGAGCTGGAGAACGGCTCAAAAATTACGTAATAAACATTTTCGAACTTCTTTATAATAGGAATTGGAAAATACGTTGCTCTTAAGTTGTGGAATTTTATTGTTTGCTGAATATTCCTAGGAATGGGCAGAGCGTTCGGCTATGTGAAGAGAAATTCGGCACAGGTGAAATGCGTCGCGCACTCCTTTGGGATACGCCACGCATTGCACCTGTGTGCAGAATTTCCGTTTACATACTGTTTTACGGGCAACAAAATGTTTAGTATGCTATGGCCGGCAGATCTGGATGATGTAGGTGATGGCATTTTTATATTCCCGACCTAGGAAGTGGTTTATCTGAGTGGATATAAGGTTTGATTTCCTAACCAATATGGAGCAGCTGCGTTACATAACATTGTCTATCGTCTTTCCTTCATGCTCTTCAAAGCTACTTTTGAGTGCGTAGCAGCCTCTAGACATTTTTTTTGCTGGTTTTTTGCAAAAATTGCATTTCGCCGATGGAGTTCAGAGAGGCTGAGGCGTTTTCTTCTAAACTAGCTCTGGCGAGTACTGCAAATTGTTCTATTAATTTTAATATTTATATCTCTTTAAATTTCAACCAAAACAGTGAGAAGTTCCAAAGTTCCATCTCATCTCATTTTCTCCAACACTCGAATTCCACGAACTAGTTCCGAGGTTCTGGTTGTAATGCCATAAAGGTTTTTACTTGAATTTGGTTATATGTGTTTCATTACAGCATCGACGGCGGTAGAGACATCACATGTTGAAATTCCGAGCTATGGACGAGCTGGCCTCTTATTTGCGGCGTATTTTGGCTATCTATCCAGTCTCATATATTTGTTGGAGGTTAATTTTCGGCTTCTTCCTATTTCAAAATGCTCCATTTCAGTTTTTTTATTTACTGAACAAGCTGCGATGAGTACGAGACACACAATTAATTTTTATCCGTTATTATCATGGTTGGCACCCAGTACCTGACGGTGGAGGGATAGGCGATTTTTCGCCTGAGCAGAGTTTTGTTGAGAAGTTCACTTTAGCGGCAAATTTGGCCGCTGTGTTGTTCTTATCTGAATGGGAACCCCTCTTACTA